GGGTTGAAAAGCCCCTGTCAATAGCTATTGCTAATACATATTATTAATAAATATTATTATATTTTAAATAATTTAGTTCTTCATCAAGGGCTAGTTTGGAGGAGCAAACTTGAAGAGCACGGAAAACATAGGAATAAAATGAAGCTAACTTTTGTTTAGTCGGATGACATGATTTAAAGTGTGGTGGAAGGCAAACCGATGAAGGTTTACGGTAAACTGTAGTACTGAAGTTGGATGTGTTACGTGTGACCAGAATGTCGAGAAACGGAAGAGAATTGCAAGTCTGAAGTTCAAAAGTGAACTGAATAGCAGGATCAATAGAATTCATTGTTGAAAGAACTCTATTTAAATCATCTTTATTACCTTCAAACAGGGTAAAAGTATCGTCTACGTAGCGGAACCATGCCGGGAAGTTTAAAGTTTCAAACAATTTTGATTCATAATAATGCATGTAGATATCAGCCAGGATGGGACTGAGGGGGCTTCCCATGGCTAATCCTCAGTTTGCTTGTAATATTTATTTTGGAAAACAAATGTTTTTGTTTCAAACAGAGTTGAGTGAGAGAAATTAGCTCACCAATTTCGATGCAAGAGAAATGAAATTCGCGAAGTCTGGTTTCTAGACATCTTAATGCACCCTCCACTGGGACATTGGTGAATAATGATTTTACATCAAAAGAAACCATGAGTAAATTACGAGGAGAAATGTTTTTTAACCTTTTTACAAACTCTATTGAATTTTTTATGGTGTAAATGTTATTGTCTAATAGAGTGGAAAATCTAGAAACTAAATATTTAGCTAATGGATACGAGGCAGTACCTAAATTTGATACAATAGGGCGGAAAGGAATACCACTTTTATGAATTTTGGGAAGAGCATATAATCTGGCACAATTCGCAACAGATGGGATAAGCGAATGTTTTAAGTTGCTTGAAATGATTTGCGAAGATTTGATCGCAGTTTTTATTTTGGATAAGTCCGAAGGTGAAGGATCTTTAGGGATTGGATTATATGGTCCTTCGTTTAAGAGTTTAGTGACACCATCGATGTAAGTGTTCTTATCCATGACGACTATCTGGCCACCTTTGTCGGCCTTTGAAATGACAATATCCGGGTTAGAATGAATCTCGCGCATTGTAGCTCTTTCTCTCGCAGTTAGATTTGGTTTCAGAGGTTTATTATTGAATTTCACATTATGAACGATAAGATGCCTAATCATTTCTTTCTGTGAATCTGAAACTTTACTGAACTTGAAAGCTTTTTCGATAGGAGCCAAAATCTTTGGAATCGAGGGTTTACAGGTTTGTGAGAAGTTAAAATTATATTTTAGAATTCTCTCTTGTTCTTCTGAAAGACTAACATTAGAAATATTAACTATTGGCTTGATGTTTACAATGGGAAGATTTTTTGAACTACTTGAACTGGAAGACTGTAAAAGAAGTTTTTCGAATTTAACTGCAAGGGTGTTTTTATGACGGTTTAACTGCATTCTCCGTTCTAGACCAAGACTTTGTTCAAGGGCAGTGAATTTTGGATATGTTTTAGCGAGTTTCCAGATGAAGCTTATAGAGTTCATGTTCAATTTTGGACAATTGTTGACGTGTATCCCTTATCACGGACCGAAGTAAGGCAAGTTTGCAATTTAACAGAATTCTTGAAACGCGACTCGAAGGTTTTTGATTAGATTTGATTTGAATAAAATTGGGGATCAATTTTTTACATTTACATTTAAGTAAAAAGTCAAGATGATTCAGGAATTTTTGCCGTTTCAGGCATAATTTAGTGAAACGATTAACGGATGAAGGCATGATAAACAATGCAGAAAATCAAACTAAATTAACTGAGCAATAATAAAGTACACACAAAATAGCAGAAAAATCCCTCACTGAAATGAATAGAAAACAAAATGTTTGTAAGCAAAATGCATGAAATCAGACAAGCAAAGCACAATATCGAAATGTACAAAACATAAACATAACTTGAAAATTGCAAAAATGTACTCACCGAAACTCCTACAATCACAAAATGGCGGCCACACCACGTGCAAAAAAGAAAGCAAAATGTAAGCCTGTTTGGGGCTTCTATAATTAAGACACAATAACACGCCGAATAAATACTGATTCAGAAGTCAAACAACAAAAATCAGCGTTAATTCACAAAATTTTCACAGGACTAGTTTCGATGGTTTTACCGAACCATCATCTTCAGCTGCAAAACCGCAAATGAACAAGATAGGAAATAATGTTTAGATAAGATAAGAAAGCCTGGACAAGAATAAGCAAGTGGCGCCATCTGTTGGCGAAACCAGAACTAAACATAATTTCTCTAAAAGCCGAAGGCAAATTTGGATTGGAATTAGGATCGTTAACTAGAACAGAAAGATTTTTATGAATGTGAAATGCCTCTAGAAAATCCAGTTCTCCAATGGAAGATGTTTTTTGAATAATTTTGGCAGCAGAAAAATTGAAAGTGTGATTTTCGGACCAACAATGTTGAGCAACAGAAGATTTCTGTGTTTCCTTTTTTCTAACATATGCCTCATGTTCTTTGACGCGAAATTTTAAGGCTCTCTTAGTTTGGCCAATGTAAATTAAACCGCACTGGCAAGGAATCCTATAAATACCCCAGGAATTCATATCCGGAATGGGGTCCTTGAGTATAGAAGTTGGAATTTTATTGATGGGAGAGTAAACAACCCGAAAGTTAAATTTCTGCAAAATATGTGCAACTTTATAGCTTATTGATGGAAAGAAGGGAATGACAACAGAATTTTTATAATCTCCTAAAATAAGAGTGTGGCTTTTAGTGTGTTGAGATGAGAATTTTTTAACTGCTTGATTAATAATGTTGGGTGAAAAGCCCCTTGTCAATAGCTATTGCTTTTAAATAATTTAGTTCTTCATCAAGGGCTAGTTTGGAGGAGCAAACTTGAAGAGCACGGAAAAACATAGGAATAAAATGAAGCTAACTTTTGTTTAGTCGGATGACCTGATTTAAAGTGTAGTGGAAGGCAAACCGATGAAGGTTTACGGTAAACTGTAGTACTGAAGTTTGGATGTGTTACGTGTGACCAGAATGTCGAGAAACGGAAGAGAATTGCAAGTTCTCAAGTTTCAAAAGTGAACTGAATAGCAGGATCAATAGAATTCATTGTTGAAAGAACTCTATTTAAATCATCTTTATTACCTTCAAACAGGGTAAAAGTATCGTCTATGTAGCGGAACCATGCCGGGAAGTTTAAAGTTTCAAACAATTTTGATTCATAATAATGCATGTAGATATCAGCCAGGCTTTAGAGAAATTCGGCTTTAGAGAAATTATGTTTTAGTTCTGGTTTCGCCAACAGATGGCGCCACTTGCTTATTCTTGTACAGGCTTTCTTATCTTATCTAAACATTATTTCCTATCTTGTTCATTTGCGGTTTTGCAGCTGAAGATGATGGTTCGGTAAAACCATCGAAACTAGTCCTGTGAAAATTTTGTGAATTAACGCTGATTTTTGTTGTTTGACTTCTGAATCAGTATTTATTCGGCGTGTTATTGTGTCTTAATACCCTTTTTGTTTTGTTTTTTGGCAGGGCTCACAAAGGTGGTGGCACAGTTCAATTACCACTCATTAAACATTCCCCACAGACAGAGGATGATGAACAGACTTCAATGCAACTTTACAGTCCTTTATATACATTGAACAAGTGGCCGGTTCTCATTCCATGTATGTGCTATAGCTTTGTAATTCTAATCATTTGCATGTCTTACCTCACTTTACATCTCCTGTAAGTTTGGTTCAATTTGTGTAATTCCTTCATGATATTGCATATGGTATTTAGAAACATTAGTTTTTATATGTGTGTGCATGCTTTTTTTAATGGATGTATACTTTGCATTGTACATAAGGGCATGCATTTATATTTTTGCTTCAGGTAGAAACATATATAGTTACAGTTCTGTTCACATATAAGCATCATGCATCACAAACTGACGTAATTTCCACCATAATCATTTTCATGCCATATATACTATAGCTACACAAGAGTTATGAAATATATTATTGCAACAATTCCTTGTACATTTCTCATAACTGATGCATAAGACATCACTAATATGGTATAATAAATTATTTTGATATTGCTGTGGGCTACAGAAATCTTGTTACACACTGCATGCAGTCAATGGGCTGCATACAGCGAGTCAATGAGTGTAATAAGAATTAGCTGAATGATTAAAAAATTCACAGATTAGCTGAATGATCCAAAGCAGTATTAACTAACTGCTAATGAATTGAATCATTCAGCTAATATTGTTTGACTTCCCTTTATAAAAGTGTAAACTACACAACTGGAATTAAGCTAAATGAAACAGGAAATACAATTAAAAATATGCTGACCAAAAACTAATTTGCAACCTGATGAATTTAAATTTTACCATGAGACTTAAAAACTGAATCTCAAAATGCCTTTTTTCAATGACAAAATATTTTTACCAATGTAATACAGTACACATATACATAATACAGTTTCATACAATAAAAAGCACTAAATAATTTGTTCATTTTAAACTGCTGAATACTGATCAATAGTTTTAAAAGCACAGCAAACACAATTAGGACGTAAGAAAGTTTGTGCATTGAATTTCCCCAAAATAATTTAGATATATACAGTTAATTTTTTAATCTTTGAAAATTTAGCTATTCAACACTTTTCCATAAGATTATCACAGATACCAAATGCATTTCTTTAAATGATGGATTCATCGCTAACATACAAAAAAGAGATGATTTTGTCCTTTAACAACTTTCAAAATGAAGCCACTGTAAGCTCTATCACATCCTCCTCATTTGACACCAGCTAATTTCTAGCTTTACCTCAAAAACAAAACTTTCCATCTGTCAATGCAAATTATGAGGCTTGAGATGAAGTCGAAAGTGCTGGAAAACTTGAGAAAGACAATTTCTGTGAGTATTACAAATTATATATATGATATACAATAATAATATACATACGGTTGAAGCTTCATGCAGGCCTAATATTGCACAGCCTAATTTTCCTTGATTAGTATAATTTCCATCCTTTCTAGAAAATGAATATTATCATTACTGAATTTGAAGCAGTATAATAATATAAAGAATGTTTGTATACTGCTAAATATGATTTTCATTATACATCACGCTCTAAGAATTCACATGCATTTAAAAGAAGATTGTATTCTTAAGGTATCTAAATCTTATTTTCATAACACTGGTCACATAAATATGTCATATGGGTAAATCCACTTCACATTACAGTATACCCAGTTATTTTTTAATTACAAGAGTAAAGATGTAGTAACTTAAAATAATTATAAACAAAATTTAAAATTTAATTTTTTAAACACAAGCAAACCAGAAGACAAAGATCTTACTAATATGCATGTAAATATATGCAAGTTATTATGATATTATAAATATATAATACTAACATTACACTGAAAGAGGATGATAAGAAATTTGAGAAACAGATAAATTACACATTTACGATTGACAGCCAATATATAACTATTTTACGTACTTCTTTCGATTGTTATACGATCAGAAATATTCATCCATTTATTTTTGATTAATTTTACTTAAAATAGATTAGAATGACTCCATAAAAGTTACTCAAAACAGTTTTCAATGCTTGTTAAACAACTGATTTGAAATAAAAATCCTGAAAAAAAGTTAACTTTTTCTACTCATTTATTAAACTTTAAAGAATTTTTGAAGAAACATTAGAGATTTAAATGAGTGCATACTGGGCACATAAACAAGATTTTTTCCCCCCTCTGAGTTAAATTAAAAATTACCCTTTACTGAAATTAACAGTGGAAAAAGATAAAAAGCAAAAATATAATGGACCTTGATCTGCTTCTGTGAAAATTATTCCATTGTCATTTTAGTTGCTTTGGTACTTATATAATATTGCAACCACCTTGGTACAGTTTGGTGAATTTCAAGGATGAAAAAGAGCAAATACTTTCATTGTATAAAATTATATATTACATACATATTATTACTTATACATTCTACATTTCAACTATATATCTATTCTAAAAAGCAATCAAACTTAGTTAAAAACGTGGTTTTGTTTTTGTTGTGATGGAAATTTTGTAGTAATCACTTTGAGAAAGAATTTGAAGCATTTTTTCTTTAGTGATTTTGCAATAAAATAATGTATTCCAGCAAAAATTGCACCTTTCTTTCTTCTATTATAAGAAAATCTTACAAGCACAAACTTTAAAATTGAGTTTAATTCAAGAAATAATTATAATTTTTCTATAAAAGCCATTGGAACTTTTGGAACTTGGAATACAACAAAAAGAACACATGAAAATGGCGACATAAGAAACTGAATATTTTTCATGTGCCTGGTTGCCTGAATGATTGTTTTGTGAGTGGTTACCACAGTTCGGTATATTGTGAAGATTGGTGATTTCTGCTAAGGTGGTTGCAACACAACACAAATACCATCGTTTTAATTGCTTTTATCGGTGTTTTCTGATGACAACAACAGTAGATCAAAATTATTTACATTTCAATATTTTGCATTTTTGTTATTTATTTTTAATTTTAATTTTGTTGCTGAGTAAAAGAATCCTCTTTTGTTATCTTTCCTTTAGGGAAGGGAACTAGATATTTAACTTCTAAAATGTCTTCAAAGATTCTTTCATAATTATTAGAAATAGTTAAGTTGCATAATACAACACTTTTTAACTTATAATTACATTAAACTTTTTTTCCCAATATAATTAAGAGAACTTTCATTTACTGAAAAAAATTAAATGACAGATAAGTGTACATTTTAGGCAATTTACAGTACATTTGAGATAGAGAAAGTTGAAAGACATACTCACAATTTAAATGCATGAACTACAGCAGCATGAATTAACTTTAAAGTTCCAGAGCTGCTCTGTGGGTTTTCTAATAAATATAAAAAATACTTTAATTTTACAGAAAAATTACAAAATGTGAATAATACTTCATATATGCTATAATACTAATGATCAAAACCTGGAATTTAATTACATGTATTTTTTGCTCTCTTCATGCATTTTTTCTCTTATCATTTTGTAAAATTTTTAGTGCATTTCGGGGGTTTTTTTATGATATTTTTAGGGCCTTTCAGAGCTTTCTCAACTCCTACAAACTCATTTTTACTATGTACTTATCCACAGAAAACTGATTTTATGTTATCTGTTAGTCCTATTTACATGACATACTTTCTCACAAGGTGTGAGGGGACCTTCTAAGAATACTTCCTTACTGACGTTTCTTAGCTCTTTAAGACTTTTTGTGCATAGCTTAGCATTTTCTTAGCTTTTTAAGATTTTTTGTGCATTACTTAGAATTTTCTTAGCTCTTTAAAACTTTTTGTTCAGTTCCAGAGAATAACATGCAGAAGGCAGGATAAGATCCCCTCTACATTCTTTTTTTTATTCAACTGGTATAGTACATCAGCAGTAAGCTAGCAAATGAGCTCGGATCTTGTCATTTTTTTAAATTGAACTATTGGATCAGGAATGCCACGAAAGCAACAAACATCTGCCGACCTTATTTTCACCAAATGATTCTTTTGCTACCGAAAGTACCACTGAAATGTACACCACTGTGTATTTTTCAAAATTTAGAATCTTCATTGTATATATTTTGTTTCAATCTTTTTTATAGTGCTTGGGGCAGAAGATGTCCCTTCACATATCAGGTTAAAAAAACAGAGCTTCCTGTTTATAAAACAAAGCTTATTAAGGCTTCTCACTAGGGTTTTTTCTGAAAAGTTTTTTTCATTTTATGCTTTTTCTTACTTCAATATTAATAATGCATTTTTGAAATACAAAATCTGATGTAAATTGCACCACATGACTTGCACGGAATATTAAATTATACCCCTTTTTTCTTGCATTTCATTTAAACTTATTGGATTGAATTAAATCTACTTCGTCGATAGTGCATAAACCACAATAGAATAAATGCACTCCTTAAAATTCACTATTTATGTTTACCATAGCGACACTCTGGCCCTAGGTTCACTTAAAAGCGTTACATTTCATTCATTTTTTATGTCAGAATGCACAATTTATATCATCTTAAGAATTATCTAATCGTTGCCACATGTTCTATTCAAATATTATAATAAATCTAATAATAAATCTATTCAAATACTATAATAAAAGAAATTGAGCAAAGAACAACGGCAACTCAGTATGTCTCATTCAACTAATTCAATTCTCACTTCGTGACAAGGCAAAAATACATTAAAACTCAAGATGCTTGAAAATATCTATATTAAAAATTATGAAGTAAATCTTAAACATTTACTTCCTCGAAACAAATTTCAAGAATGGATTAAGGCATGCTTTAATTCGCAATAATAAAAAAAGGCAGTTATCTTTGCTGTTGCGAAACTTAGTCATTCTCTAGATTGGCAATAAATTCTACTATTCTGCCTGTTTCAAATGTAAACAAAGCAATGGCCCGCCATGTTATTTAAAAATTATTGCTTAATCGCACTTAAACAACCTTTTAAATTGTTGATAAATCTACAAATATTGCTTACAGATTTCCTAACAGGCATAAAAACCTTAAGATAAGAGCCGGAAGATAAGAACAACATAATTCAATCATTTTTAAAGCAAAAAATGCATAATTTACAAACATATAAGAATAAAGAAACTCAGATCACTGAGCCGAGTAAGTGAGTAGATATATATATATATTGTAAGGATCTTAAGTTTTACTAATGTTTATTTTATTTTAAATCTTTACTATCACTTCTTATTTTCTACTTCCGGCCAGAGTTAAAAGCTTTAACTTATTTATGCAAATTTGGCTGGCGAACGCCAAGTACTTAAGTTGTGGCTTTTTGCCAAGCAAGAGAGAGAAAGGAGTTAGTAGAAGCAGGCCGCTTGCCTTAGCGGTTTTACTCAGTTGCTGGTTGGCTTCCAGGCCAAAGGTTTAATCCTCTTAATAATTTTAAACGTATTGTAGTGTTAACAATTCTCTGTACTACATACGGCTTCCTGTTAATATTCGGCCAATCTTCCACGTAGGCCCTTGTTTGTTATTCCAAAGTTAAGTTAGAGTTTAGTTAATATTTTTTATATTCTTACGTTCAGACCACAAGTGGTTGGTTTCTGTATTCCGAAGTCCGGAAATTATTGTAAAGAGTGAAAAATAAAGGGTTTCGTATACCCTTCCTGTGTATCTTGTCTACTTCCCACATTTATTGAACATAGCTTTAGTAAGCTCCCTGTTCCGAGTCAGGTTCTTGAATGTTCCCAAAGCAAGTAAGAAGAAACACTGAACCTGATAGTGGCACCCGACGAAGAAGAATAACCATGGCCGAGTTTCAAGAAGAACCTGTGCTGCCTGCAGAAGCGGCTCAGAATCCAGAAATGCCAGCTGCCGCCCTGGAAGGATTTGGTTACATCGTCCAGACCATGCACACTTCGATGAAACCAGAAGCAACATTTAATAGAAACTCACCGGTAACCAGTTTTTTTGAAAAATTGGAGGACCACTTCATGATGTATCCCGTGCACGAGTTCCAGAAAGTCACCTTAGCTACTTGCGCTTTGAGGGGCCAAGCGCTTAATTGGTTCAAATGTATAGGCAGAAGTCTCTTGGGTCAAGCAGGAAGTCCCACCTATACTTACGAAAATTTCAAGACTGCCCTAGTAAAAGCCTTCCCTGTCGTAAAGGATCGTGCGAAATTAGAAACAGAACTTTTCAGCATATATCAGTAAAGAATCGAAAATCTTTCCACCTTTATTTTAAGAAAAATTCACGTCTTCAAACTCCTGTATGGAAACCGTCCGGATCCTGAGATAATTCAAGTGATTTTGCCGAGGTTACTTCCCCACGTACAAGACTATTGAATTAAGGAATCCGACTACACTGGAAAAGTTATTTGAGCTAGCAATCCAGTTTGAAAGTAGAAGAACGGCAGACATTGAAAGAAGACGCCAATATCAACAACGAAACCAATTTGGTGAGCCAAGACCACAGCCCAAGCACACGGCTACGGAAGCAAAACGAATTAGTGGGCAAGGAAACCCGAGCATCCAAAAACAGCCGGCGAACGTCGACAGTTCAATAGCAACCCAGGAAAAAAGTCTCAAGGCCAGTGGAGAAAGAAGGAAAGCACGGAAAGGAAAAATAATTTAAACTAAAACGGATTTCTGCTGACGAGAGGGTGCGGAAATCCGAAGGCCACGAAAATCCCTCTTCCTTCAAGTTAAATACAGTAATGGTGAAAAATTTGACTCTTCCGAAGATTGAAGTGTTGGTGAATAACATCCCAGCCACCGCACTCCTGGATACAGGCGCGCAGTGTTCCTGTGTGGCAGAAGATTTTTTTAGAAAGCATTTTCGGAAATACCGCATATATAATTCGGATAATACGACAGTGTTAGCTGCGCAAGGGGAAAGATGCAAGTGCATAGGTAAATTACCGCTATACGTCCGTATCAAGGACGAACAAGTAAAGGTTATGTTTTTATAGTAAAGAATCTGCAAGCACATATTATCTTAGGGATAGATTTTCTTTCAGAGGCAGAAGCAACGCTGGATTTTAATGAAGCGTCCCTTAAGCTGAAGATGAAACCAGTTCGAGAAGAAAAAACGGAACCGCCAATGTTAAACCTTGACCACCTGCCTAAGGAAGAAAACGGCATACCTGCGTATGCCGTTTGGCCTTTCAGGGGCACCGGCAACATTTCAGCGATATATGGACATCGTGCTAAGGCCTGTTCTTGGAAAGTCCACATTTATCTATTTAGACAATATCATTATTACTAGTGATAATCTGGACCAACATGTACAGGATTTAAGACAGGTGTTTTCATTATTAAATGAGGCCGGTCTAAAAGTTAATGTCGAAAAGTGCAAATTTGCAGCCCCTGAATTAAAATACTTAGGTTACAAAATATCTCAGAAAGGAATAGAGACAGACGAATCAAAAATAATCGCTGTGCAAAAGTATCCGCCGCCAAATACGGCGAAGAAGCTCTCTTCTTTTCTAGGACTTTGTTCATATTATAGGTCCTTTATAAAAGATTTTGCAGCTATTGCTGAACCATTGTTAAAATTAAAAAGGAAAAAGGCAAGATTCTCGTGGATGGCCGAAGCCAATAGTGCTTTCGAAAAATTAAAGCAAGCATTAACCCAAGCCCCTGTATTGAAATTTCCTGAAAAGGATGAGAATTTAGAAATTTCAGCGGATGCTTCGGATTATGCGGTAGGAGCGGTACTTTCACAAAATCAGCAGCCCGTGGCATTTTTTAGTCGAAACTTTAAATCGAAACATCAAAGAAAATTATTCCGCGACTGAGAGAGAGGCACTTGCAGTTAGTTCTGTTAGGCAGTGCAAAAGTTCCGAGTCTATTTTGGAAGAGTCGCCAATAACAGTGTATTCTGATCATGCGGGCGGTAACTAGATTGTACTCAGGGAAAAACTTATCCCCAAGGTTAATAAGATGGGCACTCAAGCTACAAGAATATAATCTGGTAATCAAGCATACCGCCGGAAAGGAAAATGTCGTAGCAGATGCCCTATCCAGAATAAAAATAGATGAAGAAGGTAATACTGTAAAGGTGGCAATGCTCACAGCATGTACAATAAATTCCCGAGAAACTGTAATAACAGAACTGGGTAAGGATCCTGAAAATTTTAGCCACCAAGATATTGTGGCAATAAGAAATAGGGCGGCCCATTACGAACTAATAGATGGTCTATTATTTTATACAAAAAACTACAAATTCCAACAACGAATTTCGACCTGTTATCCCAGCTATTAAATTAAATTCTATTAGATTAAATATACTGCAGGAGTTACACGATTCAGCCCTTTAGCTTCTCATGTGGTATTCGAAAAACCATCCAACGCGTACGCGAAGGCAGTTCTATTTTCCTGAACTGCAAA